CTGGGATTTGAAATCAGGGTCTCACCTTGCTTGCCTTGTTGAAGCTCTACCTCTTGAGCCACTCCTCTAGCTGTTTGTTTGGGGCTTTTTTTTTTTTTTTGAGACAGAATTAAAGAAATGGAGGTACAATTCTTGGGAGGTTGGAACACTACATAAGCAGGTTGGTGGTAGTGCTGGATTCTAGAGTAATCCATTTGTTTTTCTTCTACGCGTCTTATTTTTCCTAACGTTCAAATGGAGCTGGCTTACCTGCCTGTCCCTAGAGGGCAGGGACTTGTCTGATTTACCTCTGTGACCCTGGCCAGCAATGAAGGTGAAAAAGGCACTAATGAGTTTGTGCGGATGGGTGCACAGACAGACGGATGACTGCCTGGGCGGGAGGCAGGATGAAAAAGTCTCTAAATGCTTTCCAGGTTAGGAAATCCAGAATAGGCTTAGACTCCTAGACTGGGCAACTTTCCCGCCAGTAGGCTGGGCTCGCGGGGCATGCGCGGCATCTCAGGTGGAACGCGCAGCATGCCGGAACTTGTAGTCTTTCTTCCGCGCTCGTGTGCCTCACTCCTCGCAGCCCGAAACCATCCACGAGATGCTCCCTCCCCAGCTCTGAATCCCTCCTGCGGCTCCCCTCCCACTCTCTACAGACCACAAAAGCATCTGTAGTGCTTCCACACCTACCTTCGGTCGTGACATGACACTGTTCTCCAGGGCCCGATCCAAACCGCCAGCGCGCCGCGGGCCAGCCTGTGCGTCTCGTTGCCAGGGCGACGGAGAGGGCGCCCGGATTTGTCATTCTGATTGGATGATCCGAGGACACGCCTCTTGGCGGAGTAGGAAGGCTCCGCCCACTCGAGCCCCTGAAAGCTGGGGTGTTCTGGCAGCACTGATCCCGGGATTTTGTCAACTCCCAGTCCCACTTTTCTATGACCCTGGAATACACAAAAGGATTACTCTGGAATCGAGCACTACCACAACCTGCTTATGTAGTGTTCCAACCTCCCAAGAATTATACCTCCATTTCTTTAATTTCGTTTAAAAAACAGCTGGAGGAGTGGCTCAAGTGGTAAAGCTCCAACAAGGCAAACAAGGTCCTGATTTCAAACCCCAGTACAATGGCTGAGTGTCTGCTGAGGGCACTTACTGTCCAGTGCCGCCCTCAGGTCTAAGCTTTGAATCTAAAAAGACTGCAAGTCACCTTCGGTGAATGGCATAACTTGGTTTCCTTATTCAAGACACTTGGTCATTTGGTAACATGACTAGTCACTAGTGCTGGTGATCTTTCCCACTGTGGTAGCATATGAGTGTAATCCTGGCATCCTAGAGACTGCAACAGGATAGCAAATTGGAGGCCACCTGGGGTACATAGTGGACCCTATCTCAAAAAGAGAGAGAAAAAAGAAGTCTCTTCTGCCATATTGATTGACTGGGATAGAATCACTACCACCATGTTTGTTTTGTTGTGCGGGGGTTTTAACTCAGAGTCTTGAGCTTTCTTTCCTTATTTTCAGATAGGATCTGGAACTTTTGCAGGACCTACCTCAGACCCCAGTTCTCCTACCTATGCCTCCCTTGTAACTGGGATGACAGGTACATGCCACCACAGTTGAGATAGCAGTATCACTTTTTGCTTGAGCTGGACTTGAACCACAACCCTCCATAGCTCTACCTCCTGAGTAGTTGGGATTACATGGGATTACAAGGTACCAAGGGCCACCTTGCACTCACGCGTGTGTGTGTGTGTGTGTGTGTGCGCGCGCGCGCACGCACACACACCGCTTAACACCTGGATTCAAAATAAAATCTAAGCCTCATACTTATGGCTCACACCTGTAATCCTATCTGCTCAGGGGGCAGACGTCAGAGGATTGCAGTTCAAAGGCAGCTGGGGCAGGAAAGCCCAGGAGATAATCTCCAATTAACCACCAACACAACCAGAAATAGAGCTGTGACTAAAGTGGAAGAGTATTGCCTTGAGCAAAAAAGCTCAGGAACGGGGCTCAAGCTTTGAGTTCAAGGCCTGGATTGGGGCCACAAAAAATACAATCCATGCCAGGTGCTGGTAGTTCATGCCTGAAATCCCAGACAAATCTGAAATACTTGTATCTCCAACTTACCAGCAAAAAAGCTGGAAGTAGAGGTATACCATAACTACCCTTGAGTCAAAAAGCTAAGCAAGAGCAGCAGGCCCTGAGTTAAAGCCACTGGCATAAAATAAAAGCAAAAACAAACAAACGAAGGAAAATAGTCTAGAGATAGGAAGGCACCTTTGTCTCCTGGGCTCTTTCCATCTTCCATCCGGAGAGGGATATCTTTAGGGAATTACTTCGCTGCCACCACAGTGAAAGATTTTTAAGCAAGGGAATGACAGGGCGAGACCAGCCTTTTAGCATCTTCATATTAATGGTTTTGTAAAACAGTTACTTCATGACTTAAGGAAAACTGTGCTTTGCAAGTACAAACACTTTCAAAGGCTCAACAGTTTGTAGCTATTTAAATGGGCTAAGTTTGATAACTGCATCCTTTTTTTTTCCACCCTCAAGACTTTTAATCTGACATGTGATTTAGCTGACTCCACCTAACTACTGAGTAGAGTTTCCAAGGACTGTTATAATTGCTTTATGGATGAGGAAACAGACCCAGGGCACTCACCTGCCCAGGCTGACAAAGCCAGTAGGGTTTTGATGATGAGGACCTAGTCCTGAGACTCCTTCCTTTACCAGCATTTCTTTATGCTAGCCAGGGGCAGGGTATTCTGGAAACAGATCAATGTCAGTACTCTGCTTTCGTTTCTGTGGCATGGATTGTGATCTTTAAGATAGGGAACCCAGTTGGCTGCTGGTGGCTCATGCCTATAATCCTAACTACTCAGGAGGCTGGATCTGAGAATGGCAGTTCAAAGCTCAGGAACGGGGCTCAAGCTTTGAGTTCAAGGCCTGGATTGGGGCCACAAAAAATACAATCCGTGCCAGGTGCTGGTAGTTCATGCCTGAAATCCCAGACAAATCTGAAATACTTGTATCTCCAACTTACCAGCAAAAAGCTGCAATTAACCACCAGAAAACCGGAAGTGGCACTGTGGCTCAAGTGGTAGAGCACTTGCCTTGAGCTAAAGAGCTCAGAGATAGTGCCCAGGCCCAGAGTTCAAGCCCCAGGACCACCCCCCAAAAAAATATAGGGCACCTGGGAGTCACACTGGAATTCTTCATTTCCTTCCCTCCACCATGTTGAGTGCCTCCCTTCCTTCCAGCTGCTTTAGTGGAGCTCCATGTTCTGGGGCTCCATGATCTCTCACCTGTACTGCTGCAGTAGCCTCCTCACTGACCCTCCAAAGAACCAAAGTGAGGGACTTAAGCTGGTGTTCATGCCTATAACCCTAGTCACTCAGGCGACTGAGATCTGAGGATCATGGTTTGAAGCCAGCCTGGGCAAGAAAGTTCATGAGACTCTTATCTCCAAGTAACCACTAAAAAGCCAGAAATGGAGTTGTGGCTCAAGTGGTAAAGCACCAGCCTTAAGCAAAAAAGCTTAGGGACACTACCAAGACCCTGAGTTTAAGCCCCAGTACCCACCCAGTGCGTGCGTGCGCGCGCGCACACACACACACACACACACACACACACACACACACACAGAGTTAAGTTTAAATTGCAGAAGTGGTTTGCTGGCACTCTTGGTAGTAAGCTGGTGAAGGGAGGAGTCATCTTATCCGTAGCTAAGTCCCTGCTACTTATCATAGAGTAGGTACACAAAAAGTATCTGCTGAATGATTTTTTTTATGAGAACCGGGTACACACAGAGCTGAGATAGGAAGCCCCCAGTACACTGTGAACTTGAGGAAGGAAGGAACACGAAGAAAAGGGGGTTTCTCCAGTTACTGCCTTTAAATGGACTCCATGGTCTCTGTCCTGCCTGTGTTCACCTCCCCTGCATTCACTTGCCACTATAGATGGACGTGATGATAGAAAGAACAAAGTTGGTTCTGCAGCTCTGTTCAGCCCCATAGGAGGTGTCTGGTCTCAAGTGTTTCACTTGCCTGGTCAGTAATTGGGAAGGGCTCTCCTCATCCTGAGACATACAGATAGGGTCTCACGAGAGCTTTCCCAGCATCACTTAGCAAGTCAGGGGTGAAAGGGTTTTTAACCCGTATCTTTCGGGACTCTGAGAACATCATGTTGTAGTTCACTAACCCTAAACTGAGGACTGGAACCTTCTTACATATTTCCTCACATTTCCTGACTTCTTGGGTCCACTAATAGCAATTAAGGCTGGTCCCAACAGAGCTTACCCATATGGCACCATCCTTATAAGGGGCTAGAGTAGATAGAAAGAAGAGAGGGAATGATGGATGGGTGGGTAGATGGGTTGATGGAGGGAGGGAGGGAGAGTAGGAAGAAGGGAGGGATGGATGGATGGATGGGTAGGTAGATGGATGGATGGATGGATGGATGGCAGACAGATGAATGGATGGGAAGATGGGTGGATGGGAAATGAGTGGATGGAGGATGCATGGATAGGTGAGTGGGTGGGTGGACTAGAAGATGGATGGATAGACGAGTGAGCGGAAGGATGGACTGAAGGGGATGAGGGGATGGATGGGCAGAATGAACGGATGGAGGAGTAGGAAGGGGTGGAGTATGGCTGGCCGGAGGAGAGGGAAAGGAAGAAGGCTGGCTGGCAGGGTGGCTGCGTGGGTAGGGAGCATGCCAGCGAAGAGGCGTGCCCCGGCGGAGCCGGCAGGGGGCCCTGAGCTTCAGGGGGGTCTCCCGGCCGCATCTCCCCCGGGGGCCCGCGCCTGACGGTGCCAGGAGGGGGGCGCCCCGCCCCCACGCGAGGCGGCCTCTCCCACGCGGCCGCAACAAGCTGCCGTTGTCCCGCGGGCCGTGGGCCCGGCACACTGGGGCTTTGTCCGGCCCCCCGCCACGACCCACGGGGGAGGGGGACCCCACATGACCAAGGGGGTAGGAGGAGCCTGCGGCGGCGGCGGTGGTGGCTGCGGCGGCGGCGGCGGCGGCGGCTCCATCGTTTTGCTCCGGGGTCCGGGGTCGACAGGCGGCGGCGGCGGCGGCCGCGTTGAGCTACGCAGAACCGCGGACCTCAGCCCCCCGAGGCCCCGCCAGGCCACAGGCGCCCGGCCTGGGCCAGCAGAGCAGCAGTGACCCCACCGTTTTCCGGGTGGCGAGCTGGGGGTGCGCCCGGCCCCCCGCCCCAGGGACCATGGGAAATGGCATGACCAAGGTAGGGGGCGGGGCCCGCGCAGCCCGCACTCACCTGGCCGCCCCGCCCCGCGGCCCGGGCCGCGCCGGGTCGGGGTGCCCGCCGCTGACCTTCGGGTCCTGCCCTCCGCCCGGTGCGCCCGCCTCTCCTCTCCGCCTCCTCGCCCCGAGGCCCGCGTGGCTGTCCCCTCTCCCCCCCTGTCGGTCGGTCGGTCGGTCGGTCGGTCTGTCCTGTCTGGCCCCTGTCACTTTCAGGACTCTTCCACCGCCGCCACCCATCCATGTGGCTCTGGCTCCTTGGACCCCGGCAGCGATTTCTCCCTCGGCCTGGCGCCCTCCCTGCCCGCCCGAGCCCACCCCCGCCCGGCTCACTCCTCCTCTTTGGGATTTTTCCGCCCCTCCCTCACTGCCCCCTCGGCTTCCCCCTCTTCCCTCTCACCTTATTGGCCTCCCTTGGTCCCCCCAGTAATGAACTTGTCACCCGGTTGGTCCGCCACCCTTCCCAGAGCCCCAGAGCCCTCTCACAGAGGGCCTACTCGACCCTAGCACAGGGAGGACCTTGCTCCCTCCGCTCCCATCATGGGACAGAGTGGTCCCCAGCCCCTCGGGGTAGGAAGAGGTAGGGTCTTTTCCGCTGACCCCGGCCTGTCCTTCTTCTAGGTGCTTCCTGGACTCTACCTGGGAAACTTCATTGGTGAGCAACACCCACTCTGTCCCAAGGCCGTGGCACTCTGCCTTGTCCAGGCTGGTATCCACCATTCATGTGGTGCCTACGCACCTTAGAAGGGCTCAGGAATGGGGTTGGGGGCAGAGAAGCCATGCCAGGCTGGGAAGGACAAGAACTCATGGAGGAGTAGTGGGTATATGGTCCCTAGGCTTGAAAGGGAGAGGGAGGTATCAGGGGTCAAAGGGCAGCACCAGGAACTCCAGTCTGAGACTCAGCCACTGCACAAGGCCCTTCAGCCCCTGAGTTCCCCAGCCTTGAAGCTCTGGGTTCAGGTCCACTTGACAATGATTCTTCCAAGTGGGATGCCCGGGGGTTCCCCACTTTTCTACGGCTTCCTCTCCTCTTGGAGAGGAGACAGGCTGGACACTCTAGTAAATAGAGTCATAAGCTCCTAGAAGAGGCAGCTGGGTGGCCCAGCACCGGGGAGATGGTGTTTGACAAGCCTACAAATTCCTGCCTTCTCCCTAGCCCTCATCCATCCCTTCTACACCCTTCCATGGGGACAGCAAAAGTGTAAAGCCTGGGGCTGGGAAGGTGGCTCAGTGGTAGAGTGCTTGCCTTGCATGCATGAGGCCCTGGGTCCTCAGCACCACATAAGCAAAAAGAAAAAAGCCGGAAGTGGCGCTGTTGCTCAAGTGGTAGAGCGCTAGCCTTGAGCTGAAGAGCTGAGGGACAGCGCCCAGGCCCAGAGTTCAGGCCCCACGACTGGACTCCTCCCCCCCCCCAAAAAAAAAAGTGTAGAGCCTCCCGCTGCTGCCTTCAGGGATTTCCAGGGTGGCAAGAACTGAACATAAACTGTGTAGGAGAAAAATGTGCTGAGGGGACCCAAAGTGGAAAAGTCACAGAAGGGAGAGGCTAAGGTCCTCCCCCTGAGAGCTTCCTCCGTGTCCTCCACATCCATGTCTGTGAGTGTCTGCCTGAGTGGAGTCTGAGTCCTCTGAAAGGGCCCAGGTTCCTCGAGGACAGGCGCTATGAGGTTGGTCCCAGTGCCCACCCAAGAGTGTACAGTGAGCTTTCAAGGAGTGATTGTTGAATGAGAGAGTGGATCTGTGCATCTAAGTTGTTTTACCCTGGTAATGAAAGGGGGCCATATGCTGAATACCAGCCCTGACACAGAGCCACCGACAGGCAGCACAGCGGGGCAGAGCTCTGGTCATTTGCCATTTATCTTAGATACACATATGTAATATTTAAAACAAAGGCAAGCCCCATTTTACACACTGTCTGGAGCTGTGCTTCCTACTTAGAAATAATTATGGACATCTTTGTGCATTAGTGCAAGAGATTATTTTAATTGCTGAACAGTATCCAAAAGTATGGATATAGCTGGGCACAGGTAGCTCACACCTATAATCCTAGCTACTCAGGAGGCTGTGATCTGAAGATCTAGGTTCAAAGCCAGCCAGAGCAGGAAAAAAAAGTCAGGGACAGCCAGGTGCTAGTGGCTCACACCTGTAATTTTAGCTACTCAGGAGGCTGAGACCTGAGGATCACAGTTCAAAGCTAGCCTGGGCAGGAATGTCCAAGAGACTCTTATCTCCAATTAACCACCAGAAAACAGGAAGTGGTACTTTGGCTTAACGGGTAGAGCGCTTGCCTTGAGCTGAAGAGTGCAGGAGCAGCGCCCAGGCCTAGAGTTCAAGCTCCACAACTGACTAAACAAAAAAGGTCAGGGACAGAGCTTAGGCCCTAAATTCAAGCCCCAAGGTTGGTGCCCATGTATGTGCGCATGTGCATGCACGCACACACACACACACACACACACACACACACACACACACACACACACAACAGAGTATGGATATACCATTTCTTACCCAGTCCCTTCTTGATAGACATTTGGTGTTACAATTGCTTAACTATTTCTAATTTTTAGAATAAAAAAATAAAAATAAAAACACTGCTGCATAGAACAGTGGCTTCCACATGCAGTTCAGTGCAAACACTTGAGCATGTAGTTCCTAGAAGAATTGTTGAAGGATATGCTGGTGTTTGGGATGGAAAGACCAGCCAGAGTAAGGCTGGGTTTGCTGGTCTGTGTCTGGTGGATTTTCCCCAAGGCAAGATGAAAGCCTTGGGGTGCACAGGACCTGTCACACTCAGAGCGAGAAGTGAGGAAGGAGCAAGCAGCTAGTGGAAGGTGGGCCAGGCTGGAGTGGGGGTAGGGTGGGGAGATCTGTGCACAAGCAAAGGCTGCTCTTGGCCACTAAGAGTGGATAAGTTGCACCTGCCAGCTTGGCTCAAGCATCCCGTTTCTTTCAGATGCCAAAGACTCAGATCAGCTGAGCCGGAATAAGATCACACACATACTCTCTATCCACGAGTCACCCCAGCCTCTGCTGAAGGTACTTGAAACCCCCATCCCAGGGCTGTACATAGGTGGGGAGGGAGGCTGTAGACTCCCATACCACCCCTTTAGCAAGTACCTACTATGCTAGGTTTGGGTTGTATTTTTTTTTCTTTTTCAGTACTGGGGATGGGACCCAGGGCCTTGCACACAATGCTAGGCAAGTGCTCTACCATTAAGCTAAATCCTCAGCTCCCAGGCTGCCCTCTTGATTCGTGCTACCTTATTCTATCTACCACTAGATTGTTTGATGTTTTCATCTCTATTTGGCAACTGAAGCACAGAGAGATAAATTAACTCACCAGAGGTCACACATGCAAGAAGCTGGCCAGCTGGGATTTGAATACAGGCCATCTGGCCCCAGAGATCTCACCCCAAACCTTAAAAAGTCTCCCTTACCAGGTGCTGGTGGCTCATGCCTATAATCCTAGCTACTCAGGAAGCTGAGATCTGAGGATCAAAGTTTCCTACCAGCCCAGGCAGGAAAGTCCATGAGACTCGTATCTCCAATTAAGCACCAAAAAAAGCTGGAAATGGAGCTATGGCTCACGTGGTAGAGCACTAACCTTAAACAAAAAAGCCCAGGGACAGTACCCCAGGAGCCGCACAAAAAGAAAAGGAAAGGGGCTCCCTTATCGGCTTCTCATTGCACACCTAGATAGATGATTACAGATGGTTCTGGGTATTGCTATGTAACCTTGATTGGTGACTTTACCTCTCAGGGCTTTTGATTCCTGAGTCCTGGCTGTCCCCAGATGGCTATGGCGCTGTAGGATGGTGGTGGTGCTGGGCAGGGGGCTGCTGCTGGAATCTAGGGAGTGAGGCTGTGAGGAGTCTGAGAAGCCAAGTAGGAAATCCAGACCTCTGGTGCTGGAGTCAGGAGATCCGCCTTCACATTGTCACTGGATTATTCTCTGAGCCTCAGTTTCTACATCTGAGTAAGTGGGCATGTCGCTTTGAGCCTACAAATTAGTGCTGATAGACTAACAAAGCTAAAGTATCCTTGTCCCATAAGCTGAGCCTTATCTTCCTCTTCATCTCACAGTGTGTATGGCCCACAGAAAGGAAGGAACTATGGGTAGGCAATGGCCCCAGAGCTCTGAGCTCCATGGACTTGCTGTGTGACCCTAGCAGGGTCTTTCACCCTCTCTGTCTCAGCGTTTAGTCTCTACAGGCAGTCTCTAACGATCTATGACTTTGGGTGTCAAAGAAGAAATTTCCAGGCCAGAGCAATCGGATTTTGCTTTTGTAGGGCAGCCTCGTTTGGGAGTATTCGGTCCAGATAGATTGCATGGGAGACTTGACAGGTTATTAATATATTTACTAAGGAAGTGAGTACTTCGAAAATGAGTCCCTGTCCCAAAAGCCCCTCCTCACTGGTGCCCCAGCCTTCCCTCTCCCCCTCTCAGGAAACTTAGCAGTCAGGGTTTGGTGCTCCTTTGCACTCCCCAAGGCCAAATGTGTGGGAAAAGGAAACTGCAAAGCTTGCAAAAGTTGCAGGATTTCATGACCTTGGGGGATTCACTTAGCGAAGCCTCTGTGCAAAGCTACAGTCAAATGAGGACGAATGAGGACCCAGGTGAGTGGTTCCTTAGTCACAACCAGAGGTGGGCCAGGCACCCACCCCAAAAGATTCATTTAAAGTATCAGAGGGTGTGCTTGAGAAAAGCAATGAGGTCCAGTGCTCCCACCTGTAATCCTAGCTACTCAGGAGGCTGACATCTGAGGAATGTGGTTCAAAACCAGTCCAGGCAGGAAAGCTCCTGAGACTCTTATCTCCAATTAACTACCAAACAAGCCAGAAGTGGTGCTGTGGCTCAAGTGGTAGAGTGCTAGCCTTGAGCACAGAAGTTCAAGGGCAGTGTCCAGGCTCTGAGTTCAAACCCCAGGACTGGCACACAAAACAAACAACCAAAAACAAAACTTTACAATACTCTCTGGAGGTTAAGCATGAAGCAAAAGTTACCACATGTGATAAAAAAAAATACTGACAGCTTATTCCTTAACTATTCTAATAATTAGCAATGTATATTGTAAGTAAATATTTTAAGCACCAGGAGTATAAATAAAAGAGCTGAAGGGCAGACTCAGCATACCAACAGGTTTTATTTGGGATAAAATCCTGGGATGGGTACCAAGTCTCAGAAAGAAAACAGCACCCTTCCCTTACAATTAGTGTCTCTCTTTATTAGGGGAAAAAATTTGAAGTGAGGTGGGGCAGACGGAAGTGGGGTGAGTGGAGGCGGGTGGGAGAGCAATGTCATCGTAAGCAGGGGATGTCAGGTCTGCCAGGGCATCCGTGCCTTCCTCCGCCTTGTTCTCAGGCTGTCTTCCAGGACCAGGTGCGTTTGTTCAGGGGGAAGGAGAGGGGAGGTGAGTCGAGGCAGCAGGATGGAAAGCAAGGACAGTTCTAAGATATGGCTCTCAGTGGGGAAGGTGAGTGCTTTCAGCTTGTTATTTTCCATCAGTTTTTCCAACTATAATTCATGAAATGTAAACATTTTTTTGAGAAAGTATCTCACTATGTAGCCCTGATTCTCCATCCTCCTGTCTCAGCCTCCCGAGTGCTAGGATCACAGGCATGTGCTATTATGCCCAGCTATTTTTTTTTAAATAAATTTTGCTTCTTGTTAAGATAACCTAAGCTTCCCTTCCCTTTTTACTGTGTAATTTTGTCATCCCTGCTTGGAGATGGTGACTTTAAGAAGCCTTTTCCCAGCTGTAAGAGGAATAGTTTCTAAATCTTTCTAATCAAGTTCTCAGGACACTGGCTGTTCAGAAGGTTCTGGAACCACAGACAAGAATTGGGAGGCTCATAGAGATTGTGTCTATTTTGGAGGGACAGAGAGCTCATAATGGCTCAGAAGGTTGGAGGAGTTGGCAGCCTGGCCCAGGTTCCCCTCTCTTCCCCCCACTGAGAATATTTTGTACTTGCAGGATATTACCTACCTTCGCATCCCAGTGGCTGATACTCCTGAGGTACTCATGTAAGTCCCCCTGGATGGGCCAACACGTAGGTAGACAGCTGCTCCTATGCTCTTGGGGGAAGCAGGTGGGCCTGGGGGTGGGGGTGGGGGGCAGAGAGTACTCAGCCCAGAGAGCAGTCATAGTTTTCAACCATGTCCTTGTTGGAAGTCCCTGGCCAAGACTGAGCCTGCCAAGCCTCAGCCTCCTCAACTGTGAAATGGAGGAAGTGCCCTGTCTCTTGGGTCCAGCTGCACCAGCAGATTTGAAAGGGTCAGGCTCAGCCTGTACCTGGCCTTGGAGTTGAGACATCTGGCTCCCTTCCAGGCCCTGCCATTCATTCACTGCTATGTGACCTTGGGCTTCCATTCTCTGAGCTCAATCATCAAAAGGTCGTCCAGGAGACTCTCAAAGATCAGATAGCACAGGTTGAGAATCTAGAACACAGCCTGGTGTCACAGGGTCTCAGAAAACAAACAAAACAAACACACACAGGACTTTTGTTTAGGTTATTGGCATTAGCACCGCAGTTTGGGATGGGTCCAGACTGAACTCCTGCTTTATGCCCTTTGCTGACTATCATTGTTGCGAATGCTCCACTGGCAGACAACAGAGGATGAGCTCCTACCCTTTACCTTGAAAGGCCAAAAGACACTCACAATGAAAACGAGGTCCTTGGGACCCATGGACTCCAGAGCTCATTGTCTTTTACAATTCCAAAAGTGGAGGGGGAGATTATTGTCATGAGACCTACCCAATCCCCAGTGCTTCTTACCCTATTGCTTTCTTTTCTAGAAAAAAGCACTTCAAAGAATGTATCAACTTCATCCACTGTTGCCGCCTTGGTGGGGGGAACTGCCTTGTGCACTGGTGAGTCCCCAGAGCTATGGGGGAGATGAGGCTGGCTGTCCTCCATCCCCAGTACTCATTCTCCCTTTAAGAAGGTAGCCCATCATTCACACGGAGAGACCCACTAGCAGGTGTGGGCTCTGGCCTTAGCCAGCAGTGGCTTCCCAGGCTATGTTTCCTCATCTGTTAAATGGGGGGGAATGTTGAGCTGACAAGGCAGTCAGAGAAAGGTGAGGACAGGTGTTTATCCCCTCTGCTCCCCTTCTAGCCTTTAAGGCTGGGCTGCAGGCCCAGAAACCCTGAGCTAGGAGGTGGGACAGGGCCTCAGAGCCTCCTTGGAGACCCCTGGATCCACTGGTATCATTCATTCCAGAACTTCTAACAAGAACCTATTGTGCTCCAGGCCCAGGGCTTTCTCAAGTCTAGTCTTGTTTCCCTGACCCTGGCCATACCTCCTCCTACTTTCAAACCCACTAGTCATCCACCTCATCAGCTTAATACACACTACCCACGACACCTTTCCTCTCCTCTTCATTTATTCTGACAATAGTAGGTATTGAACTCATGGCTTTCCTGCTTGCTAAGCAGGTACTCTACCACTTGAACTTCACCAACAGCCCATTTATTTTATTTTATTTTATTTTTGGTAGTCCTGAGGCTTGAACTCTGAGCCTGGGTGCTGGCCCTGAGCTTTTGTGCTCAAGGCTAGCATGCTACCACTTGAGCAACTCCACTTCCAGCAATTTTTGTAGTTTAGTGGAGATAAAAGTCTCGTGAACTTTCCAGGCTGGGAAGGTGGCTCAGTGGTAGAGCGCTTGCCTTGCATGCCTAAGGCCCTGGGTTCAATTCCTCAGCACCACATAAGCAAAAAGAAAAAAGCCGGAAGTGGAGCTGTGTCTCAAGTGGTAGAGTGCTAGCCTTGAGCTGAGGAGCTAAGGGACAGCGCCCAGGCCCAGAGTTCAGACCCCACGACCGGACCCAAAAAAAAAAAAAAAAGTCTCATGAACTTTCCTTCCCCAGGCTGGCTTTGAACCACAATCCTCAGTAGCTGGGATTACAGATGTAAGCCTCCAGTGCTCAACCCATCTAAGTTTTGTTTTGTTTTTTTTGTTGTTGTTGGTGGTGGTCGTGGGGTCTGAACTCTGGGCCTGGACACTGTCCCTCAGCTCTTCAGCTCAAGGCTAGGAGCTCTATCACCTGAGCCACAGCACCATTTCCAGCTTTTTCTGCTTATGTGGTGCTGAGGAATTGAACCCAGGGCCTCATGCATGCGAGGCAAGCACTCTACCACTGAGCCACCTTCCCAGCCCTCGTTTACTATGTTGCCTGTATTGTGATCCTTCTACTTGTGTTTCCCAGGGTCTCCGGGGATGCCAGGCACTTGTCATTGCATGCAGGCACAGTTCTCCCCTGAGATGACAGGCACCAAACACCATGTGCAGCCACTGGTTGAAATGGAATCTTGCACCATTTTACCTGGGCTTTCCTTAAACTAATCTTCAGATGTCTGCTTCCCAGATAGCTAGAATTACAGGCTTGAGCCACGGCACCTAGCTTTTTTTGTGGGTGTGGGGGGTATATACTGCTGAGAACTAAATACAGGGTCTTATACACAGATGACGTGTTTCCCTCACACACACACAGAACTATTCCCAGCCCTAGCCAAAACTTAACCTAGCCTTTAAGATTCTTCTGATGTCACTTCCTAAGACATCCTCTTCACTAGACCTTCCCATCCTCCCACAGCAATGCTTTTCTAGTGTGAGTTCCCCTGCCCCAGACTTGATTTCAAAACAGTTGCCACCCCTGGAAATTGCTTTTCTGGTTAATGTATGTTCCCCAAATGCTGGACATCAGAGGCCATGTCTCTTTTTCTTCCTGGTATCTGAAAGGGAAAAGGCGATCAGATGTTTGTTGAACGAATGAGTGCTATTTCAGCCAGGCCTTTGATGTGGGGCAAAGGAAGGAAAGGAACCTCACAGACAAAGGCCTAGCACTGGGAAGACAGGCCCTAGGGGCTCTTGGTGTTGGCACTCAGGAAAGCAGGATGTGGGGGCTGCAGTGGGAGGAGGCATCTGGGAACATAGAGGCCCTACCTGAAGCCTAGGGCTGTTGGGGATCCAGTTTTGCAGGCATCTCCCGCAGCACCACCATTGTGACGGCTTACGTGATGACGGTGACCGGGCTAGGCTGGCGGGAAGTGCTGGAAGCCATCAAGGCCACCCGGCCCATCGCCAACCCCAACCCAGGCTTTAGGCAGCAGCTTGAAGAGTTTGGCTGGGGGAGTTCACGGAAGGTAGGGGCTGGGCAGGGCTGGCTGGCTGGGATGGGTGGACTGGGTGGGCCAGGGAGAAACCTTTGTTCCCACTGGAACACAGCACCCATGGAAAAGAATTCAGCTTCAGACCTGGCTGGTAATTGTTCAGCATCTCAAACTTGTGACCTTGAGCTAATCCCACTCTGAAGTATAGTTTGTCTTAATGCCAAGTGTCCTTCCTTCCTTCCTTCCTTTCTTCCTTCCTTCTCTCCCTTTCTTTCTCCTTTCCTCCCTTCTCCCCCTTACTCCTCTCCCTTTTCTCTTCACTCAACCACTTTGAGTCAAACCTGTATTTTTTGCTTTTAGACCTGACACCAAAGTCTGGGTTCAGATCTTAATTCTCTCACCTATGACTGATGTAGTTGAGACAGAAGTGTATACCACCATAGCCACTTACTGACTGAGATGAGGTCTTGTTAACATTTTGTCCTGGTTAGCCTCAGATGGGGGTCTTCCCTGTGTCTACTCCCTGAGTAGCTGGGATTGCCTTGTGAGCCACCACGCTTGGACTTCCTTCCTTCCTTCCGTTTGAGACAAGGACTTGCTATATGGTCCAGGCAGGCCTGGAACTTTTGATCCTTCTGCTCAGCCTCCCTGGGGAGAACAGGCATGCACAACCATACTTGGTTTGATTTTTCTTTCTTTGTAGTACTTATTTATTTTGTGTTTGTACTGGGGCTTGAACTCAGGACCTTGGCATTCTCCCTTGTCTTTTTTGCTCAAGGAAGCTCCACTTACAGCTTTTTGGTGGTTAATTGGAGAGGAGTCTCATGGACTTTCCTGCTCAGGCCTGGCTTCCGGCTGGGATTCTCAAATCTCAGCCTCCTGAGTAGGTAGCTAGGGTTACAGGCATGAGCTATTGGTTGCCTAGCCTTCTGGATCTTTCTGAAGCCAAAGCAGTGGCTTTCCATCACTCCTGAGCAGGTGGCATGGAAATGTCAGGGGTGAGAGTACTAGGGGAGAGAGGGAAGAGTCTATAGAGTGCTGGCAGGTCCTCTGCAGGTGGCAGGTATTGGGGTGTGGGAGTGTTGAGCTCAGCTTTGTGGGCAGAGTGTTGCCAGTCTGGAAGTGTTCAAGGGGGTTCGGGCGGAGGAAAGGGGCACGAAGGAGGGAGGGGCACTCGGTGGGGGAGGCGGGGCGGGGCGGGGCGGGGCACGGCGGGGGCGGGGCCCTGACCAGCCCCGCCCCCGCCCCGCCCCCAGCTCCGGCGGCAGCTGGAGGAGCGCTTCGGGGAGAACCCGTTCCACGACGAGGAGGACCTGCGCGCGCTGCTGCCGCTGTGCCGCCGCTGCCGCCAGGGCTCGGCCGTCCCGACCGCCACGCACCCGTCCACGTCGGACGGGACCCTGCAGCGCCTGGTGCCGCGCGCGCCCCGGGACGCGCACCGGCCGCTGCCGCTGCTGGCGCGCGTCAAGCAGACCTTCTCCTGCCTCCCGCGCTGTCTGTCCCGCAAGGGCGGCAAGTGAGGAGCGCCCCGCCCCGCCCCGGCGCCCCCTCTTCCTCCCGGCCCGCCCCTCGGCGGGACGGCGGGCCCCACCCCCACCCCCGGCCACGACGCGCCCCGAGCCTACGGGGAGCCCCCGCCCCACGCCCGCCCCGCTTGTGCGCGCCCCCTCCCGCCCCCTCTGTGCGTCTTGTCCGGGCCGGCCTGCTGCAGCCACCTGGTGCCTTAGTCCTCGGGCTGGGGGGAAGGGGTCCCGCGCGGGAGGGGCCGGGGGTGGGGACGCGGGGGTATTAAAGAGACTGAGAAGCTGCCTCTCCGTCTTCGTGCCCAGGTCAGACCCCGAATCTGCGGGAGGCAGGGCGGGAGCCAGGCCGTGTTTGCTACAACAGGGGGCCCACGTCCTCCGTCGGAGCTGAATTCTGGAAACAGGCTCTTCTAGCCACGCCCCTGACCCCCCCCTCCTCAGAACCCCGTCCCCCTTCTCTCCTTCAACTCCCCTTAATGCACCAAGCCTGGATTCCGCTGCTTGAGTTCACTTTGTCCTCAGGGAGGCTACTGGGGCTCCGAAAGGTCAGGCAGCTTGCCCAAGGACACACAGCTGGAGCAGGAACGCTGGGCAGAAACTGCATCCGTCTAGGTCTCATGACTCGCATGGGAACTTAGCCTGAGTCCCAAGACAGGCGTTGGGAAGCAGCGCCTTCTTCCCCACAGAAAGACCCCGGGAGGCTAGTGGGAATGGCCCTTGCCCAGGACAGCCACTGACAGAGGGAGGAATGAAGTCATCAGAGCTGATTCTCCTAAACTGAAATTAACTGGAAGCGGAGAGGGGTGAGGAGGCCTGATCACTTGAATGGGTTTCTTCTTCTGCCTGAGTGCTGGGCTCAGGGTTGGTGCCGGGACTCGCATCCCAGTGGTGGGGGGAATGGGTAAACAGAATAACCCTTCCCATCTCCTACTCCTATCCACTCAAGGAGCATCCACTGCTGGCTGGAGGGAAACCTCTGCCCCACCTAGCTGACACTGGTAGTGAAGATGGCAGATAAAGACAGTGAGGTCCTGGTGAGGGAGGGGACCACTGCACAGCTGAGAGGGTGGTTCCAGACCTAAGAGTAAGTGAAAAAGCCCTGGGTTAGGGTGGAGTGTAAAGAGCAAGCTAACAGGGCTGCCCACACACCCAGAGCGCACACCCCAGGCCGCTTGTGGCAGCACCATCCACCCATTTTCAAGCACCTTCGCATCTCACATGCTGCCTTCCACTATTTAACCCCAAGAACCCATCATCTACGGGACCAAAGAGAGCCCTGCATCTAGTGCTTCAGGTCCTTCTGACACTACCTGCCCGCGCTGACTCAACAATACACGGCTCATTTACTGAGCCTCGGCTGAGGTGGCTGTGCCAGACACTTCATCTGCATCTCAGTTAATCCTCAAGCAACCTGCTAGTCGGCGTTGCTCTTTATCAGCTGAGACTAAGGCTGGTGTCAGGGTGGTCAGCTAGCAAGCAGTGGGGCTGGGTTGGGACCTGAGGCAGCCTGGTTGAAGACCCCTCTCCTCCCCTCCTCTTCCTGACTACCCTTTGAATATCTAAAAATTCAACCAACCTCAGATATGAAAAAGGGGAGGCTGGGAAAGTGACTCAGTGGTAGATTGCTTGCCTTGCATGCATGAGGCCCTGGGTTCGATTCCTCAGCACCACCTAAGCAGAAAAAAGCCAGAAGTGGCGCTGTGGCTCAAGTGGTAGAGCGCTAGCCTTGAGCTGAAGAGCTGAGGGACAGTGCCCAGGCCCAGAGTTCAGACCCCACAATTGGCCTTCCCCCCCAAAAAAAACTGCATCTGGGCCAGGCACTGGTGGCTCACGCCTGTAATCCTAGCAACTCAGGAGGCTGAGATCTGAGGATCACGGTTCAAAGCCAGCCAGAGTAGCAAAGTCTGAGAAACTCTTGTCTCCAATTAACTACCAGAAAACCTCAAGTGGCGCTGTGGCTCAAGTGGTAGTGCGCTAGCCTTGAGCTGAAGAGCTGAGGGACAGTGCCCAGACCCAGAGTTCAAGCCCTAAGACTGGAAAAAAAAAATGCATCTGGCCAAGTGTGGTGGCTCACTCCAGTAATCCTAGCTACTCAGGAGGCTGAGATTTGAGGATCACAGTCCAAAGCCAGCCTGGGCAGGAAAGTCTGTGAAATGATCTCCAATTAACCACCAGAAAACTAGAGGTGGTGCTGTGGCTCAAGTGGTAGAGGGCTAGCCTTGAGCAAAAGGAGCTCAGGGCAACACCCAGGCCTAGTGTCCAAGCCCCAGGACTGGCCAAAAAAAAAAAAAAAAGCATGTGTAACTGAATGTGTACAGATTTTTCTTGTTATTATGTCCTACATGGTATGAGGTAACAAGTATGAAGCATTTAGGTTGGGTTCACTACAGTAGGTAAGTAGACATGGTTTAAAATCTGTAGAAGGATGTGCACCGGCTTGCAAATACCACCCCATTCTGTATAAGGATTTGGGTGTCCACAGATTTCAGAATTACAGGGGGGTCCCGAACTAGTACCTCATGGAGACCAAAGGAGGGCTGTGGTGACTCAGATGAAATGCCTTGCCCCTCAGTGTGACCCTGCAGGCCTGTGTGAATCTGAGTGTGCCACAGAAGGGTGAGAACCAGACACCTGCTGGCTACTAGCACATGGGGTGCCGATAGATGAAGAGCACAACGCCAACACCCCAACAGGTCCCGCCTCTTGCTCTGTGCCCTGCACCCAACTCTCTGCCCCCTGCAGGAGATTTTTTTTTCTCCTGGAGCCCCAATTTCACCACGTACCCAAACAAGGGATAGAGGAGTCTGAGCTCTCTTAGCATCTTCCATACTATAAATATCTGTTGACAATTTAATACAAGATTCAAGCCTCACAGCCAGGCATGGCTGCAGATGCCTGTAATTCCAGCACTCAGGAAGTTGGTGGTGGTAAGGAAAATCAAGAGTTGGAGGGCAGCTTTCGGTATATAGTAAGACCTTGTCTCAAAACTACATTTTCACACAAATTCAGGGGCTCACAGATCTCACAAGAAGTCCATAAACTCCAGGTGTAGCAAACAAGGCAGTGGGGGCATTTTTCGAAGCTTCTGGGCCGTGGGGCACAGACACACACAGCTCTTACCCTTTTCCTTGGCTGTCCGACCCAGTGTAGTGTCTTTGTTCCAGGGCTTTAACCTCGCTGAGCCCCAGTCTTTTTAACACTAGACTAGGCTATTAAACTACCTCGTGGGTGGTGGGCTCTGGCAGGAAGGGTTTAGCCTGTGCTGCCCCTCCGATGAGCCATAAAAGGGGACTTCCAATCTAGGAGTATAACCCTGCTGTTCCCGGACTGTGTCAGAACTCCATCAAAGTCGGCTTCTGAGCTGCCAGTCGCAATGTCAGACTCAGCCAGTGTGGCAGGGAGATCACAAGTGTGTGTTTGAGACTAGCCACTGCCTCCCAAATGTGACAGGAACACTTCCCTCCTGTTCCAGCCTGGAGTAAGCCAGGTCCTAAAGAGAGACCAGCAGCCTGTGTGTGTGTGTGTGTGTGTGTGTGTGTGTGTGTGTGTGTGTGTGTGTGGTGAGAGGATCACCAGAGTCCAGGAGTTCAAGACCAGCCTGGGCAACATCTTGAGACACCTTGCAGGCAAGCACAGGAGTGGGGCGGGGCTCCCTCTCTGAATGCCGGCTGGGGTTCTCCTCCGGGACAGGCCGAGCCCCTTGGCCACTCAGGGTCTCAGTGGCGCCTCGGGGTCAGGGGCCGGCCTGGGCCCAGCCCAGCCTCTGCGCGGCAGGGATGCCACGCGCGGGGGGGGGGGGCGGGGGGGAGGGCGAAAGGACCGGGGTGGGGAGGACAAATGGAAACCCGCGGCACTTTCGCTTTGGCTGCCGGTGGCCCCGCACCCCCTGGTCCGCGAGGGTCCAGCCACCTTCCTCGGCGCCCCTGCGCCCCCGACGGTCCGGCCGCGGAGGGCCGGGGAGTCCTTGCTGCCAGGAGGACGGGAGGGTTCCCCTCCGGTGGGCACCGATGGCGGGAAGCAGGGTGCCATGCGCCTCCGGACTGGCTGGTGGCCGGGATGGAGAGCAGACGGCTGGCGGGGGCGCAGCCGGGAGGGGGGAGAGGGGGCAGACCCTCTTCCGCATCCCCTGGACGCGCGCGGCCTCGCGGGGCTCCGGGGCGCTCTTCAGGGTAAGGCCCGGCGGGGGCGGGGTGCAGACCCCCTCCCCCAGCCCACGAGAGCTCCGGATCAACCCAACCCTCAGACACAACCCCCGGAACCCCCTCCGCCCCAGCTGCGGCGCCTCGCCTCCAGCGCCCCCCGCGGGAGTCCTGCGACTCCCAGCCCCAAACTACACGGGGGGGGGGGGGGAACCTGTGCACCCCCAGCCCTTTTGGGGGGACCTCCACAGGGCTGGTCTCACCGTTCACTCTGGGCCTGGGCACTGTCCCTCAGCTCTTCAGCTCAAGGCCAGCGCTCTACTACTTGAGCCACAGCGCCACTTCTGGTTTTCTGGTGGTTTATTGGAGATCAGAGTCTCATGGACTTTCCTGCCTGGGCTGGCTTTGAACCCATGATCCTCAGATCTCAGCCTCCTGAGTAGCTAGGATTACAGGATTACACCACCCCAAACCCCCACGCCAGTCACCTCCAGCTCCCCTTCTGTCACCTCTCTCCTTTCATAGCAAGAAGTAGCTGGGTCAGTGTTCTCTCCCGCAGGCTTCCCTCCCTCCCCAGCTCCCACCTGGCTTCTGCCCCTCCTCTGATCCAGCCATGCAGCCCCGCCTTCACTTCGCCAGCTCCTGGGCTAGCCTGTACCTGGCAGTCTCCCCTCCTCCCTAACACACTCAGTGGCTTTCCAAAGGCTCTGCCTCCCTCCTCCACCCCTCTCTTCCTCCTACCTCCCAGGCCCTGCCCTCGGGCCTCTGACATCACCCAGCCTTTATTCCCAGACCTCCTTCCTCAGTCTCCCTCTCCTCCTCTATGGCCCCCATCTAGAAGCCCCAAGCCTCCCCTCTCAGGCCTAAAC